AGGGTGTTTAAATTTACTTTTTAAAATAGTTTTTTTAAATATTCCGAACAATATTTGATGTATAACAGTGAAAATTGGTATACAAGAGTTTTTTGGTACGACAAAACGAACCATGTGCATGATTTTACGGTAGCCGCTAGAGGGCGCTCTCTACTGTACCTGTAGTGTATTAATATGCCCGAAAATTTTTTCTTAGTGCAATTTTTGGCTTTTTGAATAAAAAAAATGATTTTTCGCATTTTTTTGCATAAAAAAGCTCTCCTGTGAGTTTTCGTTATACTTAGCCGTTTTTGAGATATTTCGATTTTTAAGGTTCGATGCATTTTTAATTATCTATGGGAAAATAATATTTTTTTTTAATTTTCGATTTGGGCATTACAGGTAATTAAGATGATCGTTTAGATTGTGTTTCTAAACACAGCAATAATTCATAACTCCAAATAAACACAAAAAAACAGAATATAATTTGTTTAATTTTCCAATATTATTTTTAACAAATTAAATTAATTATTTACAACTACAATGCTATTGGATAGTTAGGACAAACATACAAAATCTAAAGTAGTTGCTCGAAATGTAAACCCAATTGTTCAATACACAATTCAGATCTACGAATGATCGAACGTGGTATAGCATTATTCAAATAAGGCCTTATTTCATCACATGCATTCCTGATTCTGTCTATTAGCATATCTCTTGGGGTTACGGAAGTCTGGTACACTTTTTCTTTTAGAAATCCCCACACAAAGAAATCTAATGGATTTAGGTCAGGGGATCGTGGAGGCCAGGCGACTGGTCCTCCACGGCCGATCCATCTTTCTGGATAATTTTCGTCCAGCCAGTTTCTAACTATTCTCGAATAATGAGCTGGACAACCATCAAGCTGGAACCAGGCCAATCTTGTTAAATCTAACATAACATCATCCCACATATTTGCATGTTCAGCCCTTAAAAATTCCAAGAAGGGCGCAGCATTTAACCTTGAAGGCAAAAGGTAGGGTCCAAATAGTCGATTACGGTAGATACCAATCCATACGTTCACACTAAATTCATGCTGAAAATTTCTTTCCCGAACTGCATGCGGATTTTCATGCGACCAAATATGTTGATTATGAAAATTTACCACTCCACGTCTAGTGAAGCATGACTCATCGGTCCATAAAACGTTACTTAAAAACTCCCTATTATTATCAGTTCTATCAAGAATCCACTGCCAAAATGTGATTCTTCATTCTCGGTCCCCTGGCTGTAGTCCTTGCACAGGTTGGAAATGGTAAGGACGTCTATGGTCATTTCTAAGAACACGGTGAACATGGCTTGCTGAAATTCCCAAGGCACCAGAAACTCTCCTAATACTTGTGGTCGGATCTCTATCAAACTCACGCAGAATCATACTGGTAAATCTGCGCTGACGAACATTTATGTTTTGATCCCTTTGGAGATTTCCAAAACCATTTTCAATTATTTGGCGATGCACTCTTACAAATACTGAGCGAGTTGCATGTCGTCTGTTTGGAAATCTTCGTGCGTATTCTCTGGCTGCTTCTGCTGTGTTTCCATTTACAAAGCCATACACAAAATGAATATTCGCTAACTCTTGATTGGAGAATAAAAATGGCATTTTTATAAAACTTACAACAAAAAACAGGTAAAAGAAACTAAATTTCGTGCATTCACAATTGCAAAAAACGTTTCAGGTTTCAACAGACAACAAAACTAACTGTCAACTAATTGACGTTTAACCTTACTCTGCTTCCAATTTCAAAAATATTTGCAGGCACAGCCTACTTCTAAAAATTATCGAGATACTGACTTTTTAACGTTATTTTATCATAAATAGTTAAAAATGCATCGAACCTTAAAAATCGAAATATCTCAAAAACGGCTAACTATAACGAAAATCCACAAGAGAGCTTTTTTATGTTGAAAAGTGCGAAGAATCATTTTTTTTATTCAAAAAGCAAAAAATTGCACTAAGAAAATTTTTTCGGTCATTTTAATACACTACAGGTACGGTAGAGAGCGCCCTCCAGCGTACTACAGTGAAACTATGCCCATGGTTCGTTTTGTCGTACCAAAAAACCCTTGTATGCCAATTTTCACTGTTATTAATCAAATATTGTTCGAAATATTTAAAAAAAACTATTTTATAAAGTAAATTTAAACACACTGTATTTCGGAAGCCACGCATTTTTCGACCCATGTTTATATAAACTTTATGCATTAATTTTAAAAGTTCTATCGAATTTTAAATTTATGCAACAATAAACTGAAACACCCTGTATATAGATTATGGTGGTCTTTTCGCTCCGAGCAAAGTTTTTTTGAAAGGAATTTTCACCAGAAGGCAAAGCTTCAAAAATGTGGCTTCTGAAACTAAGGTAGGCAGATCTTTCTCGATATGCTTTCTGTACTTATCAGTGTCATATGTCTGATACGCCGCTGGATAGGAAGTTTATAAGCTTCCTATTGGCTAGTGCGACGAGCGAGGATGTCTCGTCGAGGAGCCAGCATAGGAGAATACCAGCGCGCAACTTGCTAACAAAAGCCGCCGAAAGGACTTTGCCAACAAAATTCCAAATTTCTGCGGTTGGTTTGTCGCTGTCTATCTCCCCTGCCCCTACATTCCCTCCTACATAGCCCCCCCAAGTCAGGAACTCAGATCGCCATTTTAGTTCGGAAGTTCTCAACACATATACACACGCTGAATGGGTGTACACCGAAGTTTCCAACAGTTCGATTAAGTGTGAATGATTCTGATAATAAATTGGTCTGTAACAGCTGATAGTACAGTACCAGAGGTACTTGGACTCAGAAGAACCTGCACAGCTCAAGGAATTCAAATATAGTACGACCCAAGCCTATAAGTTTACACTGACTGATTTGACTACCATTGCTCGTCAAAGTGACAACGTTGTATCGACATAGTAATAATACTTGTCGGTGAAAAGATCTACCTTCATTAAGCTTGTACTGCTCTTTGCAAATTATGCAAGAACTATCATGTCCTGAAGTCACCTAACACCGCACTAGGTTAGTTGACACTTTCTTAAATAGTTATTTATTCGACTAGGCCAAAAAAATAATATTAAGTACACATGTTTTCACACCTAAAACTTCAATTTAAAATGTTTTCTTAGACCGGCGAAAACGCTGTCCGCTATGTGTGGCCCATATATTAATGTGCTTTGACGTCATACCAGTCGTAAACAACAGCTGACAGCATCATAACCTCTCAAATTTTCAAAGATATAAACATGACTTCTACTAGTTTATATGAAAATTATAATCATGGTTAATGTATCGACGAAGAATGCAAAAATACATAAAACAAGAAACCTTCGTATTACTTATGTCCGGGAAATCCTTTACATTTTGCTGTGCAGATTTTATCGTCTCGTTTAGGTTCACCATTGCACGATTCCCTTGTAGATGTGTAAGAAGACACACAGTATTAGATAAAATTATTCAGGGGTTATAACGCATGAGCTTAGTTTTGAATGACTTCTGAAAAGGAAGATCACGTAAGAGTAATACTTATTTTGTCTTTTTATGTCTATCATTACGTATATATCATAGGCACTGTGCTTACATAGAAGTCCTGGTGTACCTCAGCTCAGCAGAGCAGGAATCTGGATTGAAGGCAAAAAATTACCAATAATCAATATGCCAATTTTCGGCAAATGTGTGCGTTCTGCTTTCACGAATCCAAAGTCCATAATTGTTTTTTGATAAAACGAGAAAACGATAACTTTTTAGGTTGATTCTTAGAAATACCTATAGTCAAACTACGATAGATGACTATTACGTCATACTATAAATTTTACTGAAGTAATCAATGGACGTACGTCGATAATAAAATCACGACGCCAGGAACATAATGACAACACATTTGCAACTGTTGGTCTTATTAGAATAAAAAATCACAAAGTCCGTTAGGCACTTTCTAACCTGCCGAATTAGCTTTCTGCTAACATTTCGGACATTTCTTGATACAACAGATTCCTAACTATCTGCATTTTTACCGCAGAAACGCTGTAATAATCTTTACTATTTTGTTTTGCCTGTGACGCTACGATATCAAGTGTCCTAGACATAGCACAGAGAGATTGAAAATTAGAAGGGTTAAATCGGTGTCTCGCTGGGTCTCCCCTCCAAGAGTATAAGCAAAGGGGAGGTGTTATCTTGCACGATTTGCCTCTTCGCACCCCCCTAGCTGGATGCCAAATGGTCAAGTTGCTATATTACCCTATGCAGAATGGGTGATTTGAGAGCACTTCGCAAATTATGACTCAACTTTATGGGATTGTTATCTCTTGTTTGGCATATGGAATTCAATTTACCCGGTACTTGGTATGTCTTATGTATACAGGGTAACGATAATATGTATTATTGTGAAGCAAGCTGGGATGTGGCAGAGTTAGTGTAGTTATGGGGACGTATCTTTTTATTTTTTTATAATCGTTAGATTATTTTCTGAAATAAAAATATTCCAGATTCTTTAGATTTTATAGTCGAAATACATTCTTTTTTCTGATTGATTATACATGGTGTTAATAAAGTATGTAAACAAACTTTAACCAACGAATCCTTGGTCAATTTGAAGACAAAATTTCCTTATGAATATGGTCCGCAACGGCTTTGTTTTCAAGCTACTGCATATTAGCACTGAAAGAAACGATGATGTTCTAAAAATTATAAAAGAATGGAACGTATTTTATTTTAATCGAGTATGCCCTGTGGTGGATATCACATGACGTACAGTTGTTTTCATACCCTCCGTGTACCTAGATACGGATAATGTTATCCAGTATTCTTTGAAAAAATAGCATGACATTGATTTGTTCTGATCGCAATACTCTTAATATCTAAGCATTGTGCTTATCTAGACACCTATGACGTACCCGAAAACAATTGAATTGATTTATTTTCTCAAATAATTCGACAGCTGTCAAATATTTGTTTTCTTGTCTCGTTATTCTAAGACTCCAAATATTTCTAAGTTTTGGTGATTACTAATTGTCATAACGGTCCAGTTGAGTGATCAAGAAATGACAGACATGCATTTAGTTTACGGAATGGCTCTAGGTAACGCTCGACGAACACGACGAAATGCCTAATGTACAAACTTTCATCAACATTCACGCTCGACTATGTGCAACAGGCAGATTCAAGAGATCCACACATGTTTCAGGAAGACCCGCAAGTGTAAGAACCATCCAAATCGAAGAAGCTGTACTTAATAAAATCGAAGAGGACCCCACAACAAGTACAGGAAAAATTGCGCACCAGCTAAATTTGAATCATATGGCAAATTTTGAAAGATCAGCAACTTTGTCCATATCAGATACAATGTGTGCAAGCGCATTTGCTTTGAGATTTGCCTATAAGAGTTGATTTTTGCAACTGGTTACGTGAAAAAGTAACATGAAACCAAAATTTGTTAAATGCGTGAAGCATTTAGAATTAAAAAAGTGACATTGAATTTTAAGTTAGGATGTCATTTGTTAATTTAGAATAAGTACAGTGAATGTGCCAATTGTTGGTTCACACTACTTGGGTGTATATCTGTCTCTATCTTTTTGGCAACACCGTTTTTGACAGATGACGCGTGAATCGTGTCTTGTCTCATTGTCAAACTTGTTAAGTTTGGTCTATAATTTAACCATGAATCGACTTATGAACGAACAACGCTTGCAAATTATTGAATTTTACTATCAAAATTCATGCTCGGTTAAGAGAGTGCATCGAGCACTGCTTCCAATTTATGGGCAATTTGGTCGGCCTACTGAGGGACCTATTCGGAAGCTTGAGACTAAATTTTTGAACCCAGTTTACATAATTGGACATTAAACCACCAACACGCAGACGTAGAGTGAGGGCTGAAGAAAATATTGCGGCTGTATCCGCCAGTGCTAGTGATGACCGTGAAATGTCGATTCGCCGCCGTTCTCAGCAAATGGGCCTCTGTTACTCCACTATGTGGAAAATTTTGCGACAGGATTTGGGTGTAAAACCTTATAAGATACAGCTGGTGCAAGAATTGAAGCCACAACGTTTCTCATTTGGTGAATGGGCGCCGGCAAAGTTGGAGGAAGATCCACATTTTTATCGAAAAATTCTGTTCAGTGACGAAGCTCATTTCTGGTTGAATGGGTACGTTAACAAGCAAAATTGCCGCATCTGGAGTGAAGACCAGCCAGAAGCATTGCAAGAGCTACCAATGCATCCCGAAAAAATCACTGTTTGGTGTGTATTATGGGCCGGTGGCATCATCGGGCCCTACTTCTTCAAAGACGACAATGGCCGGAACGTAACTGTGAATGGCGAGCGCTACCGTGCGATGACAACAAACTTTTTTTTACCCAAAATGGAAGAGCTGGACTTGGCTGATATGTGGTTTCAACAAGACGGTGCCACATGCCACACCGCACACGGAACAATGGTCCTATTGTGAGGCGAGTTCGGTGAACAGTTTCACGTTTGGGACCCGTCAATTGGCCGCCTAGATCGTGTGATTTAACGCCGTTGGACTACTTCTTGTGGGGCCATGTTAAGGCTAACGTCTACAGGGATAAACCAGCAACGATTGACGCACTGCAAGCCAATATTGAAGCATTTATTCGTGAGATACCGGCCGATATGTTGGAGAGAGTGGAGCCGCGGCCAGCATTTACATGAAATAATCTTTAAACATCAAATTATATCGACCGTTCTATCGACTCAAATAAAGATTTAATCGTTTTTTTAAATTTTTTGTTTTTTTTTTGAAAATCAAATCCTATACCTCTTAAAAAATCACCCGTTATAAGTTCAGGCTAAATACTGATTTGTGATTATTGTAACTGATTACTTAATAATGAATAGTTATAAGCTATATTGTTAAACAGATAAATTACCCAAAGACTGTACAACGGCTACAAAGTTGAGACATTTACTAATTTCTTATTAAAGGTGTAAACAATTGTCAACAAAAGTGATTATAATTTGAAAAACTATATTCTAAATTATCTGCACCCTGAGTAAATTTACGCTTATGGAGTTTTTTGTTTTGATAAATATTTTGATGGTATCCCTGGTTTTTGTTTTGCTTGATTGTTTATATCGTTAAGGCTTAATAAGTTCCCAATAATTTAATGCATTTTTTTGCTATCCCGTTTATCTTGCAATGTATTTCCAAAAAATAAACCAGTATTCCAAGTTCCTCTACGCGATTCAGTTCTGATGACCAACTAGGATTACCCTTGCATGAGGTGGCTGATCACTATCGCAAGAGAGCTAACGGTCATAAATTGAAGAATATTTCCAACAATTTTCCTGGCAGTGATGACCTCAATAGCTGGCACACAGATGCAGTTACATGTATTTAGTACGAAAATAATAAACAAAAACAAAAAGTTGTCAACGAAGGCACCATGGTTTACATTAGAGGTTAAACGTTAAAAATGTCACCAAACAAATAAGGCTTTCCTAATATAAGTCAGATAAAACCAATGAATCATATGAAGAATATAAAAGAACAAGAACTGAAACTCATCAATTGGTAAGAAAACAAAAACAGATTACTGGGAAAGATTCACAAAAGGACTAGAGACGTATTTCTACGGACAACAGAAACAAGTATGGCGCTTCATAAGACAACAAAGAAGCGAAATGAAAGAATTAGTTGAAATAGAACACATAAAAGAGGATACACGGGTGGCTTTCCTGACAGAAATGTTTAAAAAAGAAAACGAGGAATCTTTACCAGAAACGCCAAATATAATAACTGATGAAAAGACCGAAACCTCCCAGGAAGATGTGAAACAAGAAATAAATAAATTTAAAAACAGAAAGTCACCAGGAGAAGATCAAATACCAAACGAACTCTTAAAACATGGAGGTGATTACCTTGTACAACAACTGCAACTCCTTATTCCAAAAATAATCACCACGAACCGAATACTAGATGAATGGACGAGAAGCGATCATGCTGATGTTCTTCAAGAAAGGAGATAAGAAAGACCCCGATAATTATCGAGCAATAAATCTGTTAAACACAACACTCAAATTGACAACAGGAATAATAGCGACAAAAATAAATGAACGAATAACTCTGCAAGAGGAACAGCAACGATTCCGAACAGGAAGAGAATGCACGGATGCAGTGTTTGTAATAAGACAAATAAAAGAAAAGTCGCTGGAATACAACAAACCAGCATATATGTGCCTGATAGATTTGAAGAAAGCGTTGGAAAGAGTGAGAATTCTGGACGCGATACATTCCTTATATAACAGGGGAATACCACTGGATTTAGCAAAAACTATTGAGAATATATATAAAGATAACATAGCTATGGTAAGATGTAAAGAAACACTCTCGCAACCTATCAAGTATGAAACTGGCATTAGACAAGGAGATTCGCTGAGCCCACTAATATTTAATCTGATAATGGATGAAATCGGAACCGAGACGATGTAAACTGGTCGTAAATAACAAAATACTAGAACTAGTGATGGAAACGGAATACCTACTTGGGAATCAAACTGTCAAGCTATGGAAAAGTGGAAGAAGAAGTATCGAAACAAGTGAACATGGCGAACAGAGGAGCAGGATGTCTCAACAATACAACCTGGAGAAACAAATACCTCCCGACGGAAATGAAAACTAGGATATACAGGGTGTCCGCAAAGTGGGGGTTTTCCTTTACAAGACGTGTAGATCTTGAAAACATAAGCAATTTTTCTTAGTACCATATACACCAATGTCTTAAGGGAACCGAGATAAAGGGCTCTGCAACATCAAAAATATCTGAATACCGTCCTGTAGCCGCGACCCGCGACATCACCGAGTGGTACAAGGTCACTGGCTCAACCCGACGACAGAACTGGGTCGGGGTCAGTGTGTCAGGTCAGTATGCAATCTTGATATGTTGTTAATTTATGGCGAATGTCTTCAAAATGCTACGGAGGCTTCGCGAGTGTATGCAGATCGTTTTCCTAGACGACATCATCCAAGGCCCCGCAGATTTGTGTACCTGGTCCAGAGTGTCAGGGATACGGGCCATTTGGAGGAATTTCGAGGTGGGCACAGTGGGAGGCCTAGACAACCACGAATGGTGCAAGTTGAGGAAGAACTACTGAATCGCGTAGACGAGAATCCCTCAACAAGCACTAGAGACGTGGCTAGAGAAGTGCAAGTATCAAAAGCTAAAGTGTGGCAAACGCTGCGTGAAGAGGGGCTGTATCCGTTTCACGTCCAACGTGTACAAGCCCTTCAGCCTGACGATTTTCCAGCAAGAGTGCGGTTTTGTGAGTGGTTGTTGCATCAACATGACAATAATCCGGACTTTTTGAAGTGCATATTGGTGACAGACGAATCTACGTTCACGCGTAATGGGGTGAATAACTTTCGCAACACTCATGTTTGGTTAGTTGAAAATCCGCACGCTGTCCGTCGGGCACATTTTCAACAAACATTTTCGGTGAATGTTTGGGCTGGCATGGTGAACGGTATGCTCATTGGACCATTTATTCTCCGAAATCGATTGGACGCGATGCAATACCTAGACTTTTTACGCAACATTTTGCCTTCCTTGTTAGAAGATGTGCCATTAAGTGTAAGACAATCAATGTGGTTTCTGTACGATGGTGCCCCGCCCCATTTCAGACGCGAAGTGCGTGACTTTTTGAATGAATTATTTCCGAATAGGTGGATCGGACGTAATGGACCCGTAGCGTGGCCTCCACGATCTCCAGACTTAACCTCCATGTGATTTTTTTCTTTGGGGAGAAATGAAACGCTTAGTGTACAAAACTGAAGTGCATACGGTTGACGAACTTCGTCTCAGAATTGAACAAACTGGTGCTTTCATTCGGGGGAGGGACTCCACTCTCAAAGCCTGCACCGATGCTTGGCTACGTCGTGCACGCACCTGTGTTTTTGAATCAAACGGCGATAACTTCGTACAATACCTATAAAGTACGTTTACCTAAAAACTGAAAACGCGGCAACGCCGTCATATTTGTTACCTCTGTTCGTGGTCTGCACCACCTCCTGCGTCTGCTCGGTAGCGCATCAGCTGATTTCGTTTTCTGTTGGAGCGGTATGATTTCGGGCAGAGACGTACTTAGCCCTTCTCGTCAACAAGAGAGTGAGTACTTTTTCCTTTATTTTTTTTACTTGGTCGCCCTCGTTTCACTACACATTACCTTTGTTATTTCAAGGGTAGTTGTTTCTGAAAAGGACAACCCCAACTTTGCGGACACCCTGAATAAATCAACAATAAGACCGATAATGACGTACACAGCGGAAACAAGAGCAGATACGACGAAAACACAAAGAATATTGGAAACACCAGAAATGAAAGCCTTAACGAAAAATAGCAAATCAAACTCTAGGAGACAGAGTAAGAATTGAGGAGATATGAGCGAGATGTGGTATAGAG